AACATGGCGTCGCCCTTGTCATTCGGTAATCGAGTCAGAATTAACCATCAGGAATCTGAATAAACTACAGGGATAATTGCTACCATTATCAAACGAACAGTCTAATATACTGAAAATCAGTGTCTAACTTTGGAGATATAAATTTCGAAACAATTTTGCGAGGGCACACGAGGCCTAGCCAAGCGGGATCAGTAGCCATATCTGTGCTTGTAGACCTCTGCGGCTTGAAACCGTTTACACAAATTAAAATAGTTGGATTTGGGCGAAATATGTTTGAATTGTTACCTTGTTTCATTTTGTCGCTGTGTGTACATCTGATTGCACTTCTTAACGTTATGACAGGACAGGCCGACTGTCAACAACGTCTGAACGTGGCCGTAACGTCTCATACACTAGGGTTAGAGTAGCTTACCTTTGACAAAGGTCAGTTACTCTAGCGGTCCCTCCGGTGGATTGCCGCGAAATGCAAGTAAAAACAATTGTTGTTTTGCGTATATGTTGCTTCGCCACTGCATGAGAAACAGATTTCAGTTGGAACTTTTTTTTTTTGGTTGATATTACAGTCCGACTTACACATCACCTACCCTGTGACGTAATAAATAATAATGCGCGCATGCCAGGAAAACTCGCAATGTGTAGGTAATGTTTGTGAGAGAGGGAAAGCGATTTTCAAGCACAGAATTAAAACATGACATTATATGATAAAAAGGTCATCACGCTTGTGTGTTTGGGGATGGTAAATATCCTGTATTAGAATAAACACTACGTATTAAGCTCGCCAAGGCTCGCTAAATACAATGTTTATTCCTAATGCAGGATATTAACCATTCCCAAACACTCTCGTGTTCACACACATGAGTCCCATTCGTCAGTCTGGAACACACTAAAAGCTGTCAAACAAGTTTGGGGACCGCTTGTGCACAGGCAAGTTGTGCGTCACTAAGTAATTTGAAAGGCATTGGCCTTATTGATTGTTACTATACTTTGAGGATTTCTGTGGCCGGTGGCGGACGTTATTCAAACTCCTTCCACACTGACACCGCATCAAAGTAATTTGTGTACATAACCCTTACTGACACGGCGGGTTGGTAGTTCGCGCGTAACGGACGAGGCTGTGTCTATTGGGCGGCACCTTTGATATCGCCTCAAAACATATTTTTATTGAATGACCCAAAAACGATGATACACATAATTATCACGGAGAAAATTCAAGATCCGCTCTTGTTGAATATATCAAGGCACCAATTCATCTTTCATAAACCATTTGTGAGGGTTAGAGTAGCTTACCTTTGACAAAGGTCAGTTACTCTAGCGGTCCCTCCGGTGGATTGCCGCGAAATGCAAGTAAAAACAATTGTTGTTTTGCGTATATGTTGCTTCGCCACTGCATGAGAAACAGATTTCAGTTGGAACTATATTTTTTTGGTTGATATTACAGTCCGACTTACACATCACCTACCCTGTGACGTAATAAATAATAATGCGCGCATGCCAGGAAAACTCGCAATGTGTAGGTAATATCCAAACTACCATAATATGAAAATATCTTTTTTTTCGTGAACAATATCCTTAGGTATAATTCTATGTTCATATGTTGCATGAGAGTATATGTCCGTGTGTCTGTGGAGTGGGGCGGGGGGAGGGGTGGTGGGTGGGTGGGGTTTGCTGTATACATATGAAGATATTGTTAGTTATAATATTTTATTTATGTATTTTATTGATTGTATAATTTTAGGTGTCTTTTAGGCCAGTAATGGCCAGGTGTATTATGTACACATGACACATTAATAAACTATATTATTATTATTATTATTATTATTATTATTATTATTATATATATTGCCTAACTGACCCTTATTTCACAGTCGGAGTGTGACGGTGTCCCGGTATAAACTCTCCCCCGTACAAATTCTCCCCCCGGAGATTTTATACCAGTACAGATTCTCCCCCGGAGAATCTGTTCTGAAATAAAATCTCCCCCGGGCGGATATATTTCGCGCCCCCCTCAGTATAAAGTCTCCCCCCTGATTATTCGGTTTGTTGCAATGTCTTTAAGTACTATATTCTTTAAATAGTTATCTTTAATGTAAGGAGGGTTCCTTTAAAATATAGATTATGAAATATGGTCATGATGAATTGATATTTCAGCATATTTTATTTGGTAACTGTACCTTCCATCCTAAAATAAATATAAGACATAATCATACCAAACAAATTTGAATGAAATGACTTAATGTAACAAATACATGTACGGTTACTGTTGTAACTGAATACAGAAATCTTATTAATCCTCGCAAACATTCGGTTTTAACACTAACAGCCTGTATTAATATTGAACAACATCAACCGGCATCGTCAAAGCAAAGTGTACATGTAATTGTCATAATCGGGCTGGCAGTGAATCTTAATGAAGAACACCTTGTTAAAAAGACACACCGAAACTGATTTCCATAACTGATGACCACAACATATTGCAAAATATCAAAATAGTAAAAATGATACAGTATAACCTCATGCTGAAGAGAAAACAAGAACAACACAGAGAAGTAAAATAGTACGTCATATAGAAATGAGATAAAGTAATCTGAGAAGGGATTCATACGTTATATACAACTTAAACAATTTTATTATGAAAAACGAAAGGATAAACACCGGAGAAGAAATATACCCCGCAAAATTAATAAAAATAAAAATCAACAAATAAAAAAAAACCAACCACACACACAAGTTACTAAATGTATATTTAGATAAATATATAACCCAGAAAAAATAAAGGAGAGAACAAAATAAATAAAACAATACATAAACAAATAAACATTAAAACCTAGAGGAATATGAAAAGCCAATGTGTAATGCTAAAGCACGAAGACACGATCAACTGTACCAACATTACAATGTTCCCCGATATGCATGCTTTACCTTGGTTACATACGGGTGATCTAAGTCTTTTTGTTGTCTGTATACATTTTTTTTATATACCAGTTTGTGTCTACATGTGAACACAATCGATGGTTGAAATGTTAGTCTAAGAACAAAACATGAACTAATTCTCAATAACTCTGATGTATGAGGTTACCTTCATCTTTGATGTATTTTCAATCTTTATTCAGCACTGAAGAGGCCACAGGCCTATAGTACGAAGCATTAAGTTTATGAATAATCATCATTGATTTTGACTCCATAAACTGTCATACAGTATTCATAAAGTATCAGGGGTCATTTCAACTTGCAAAATGATTGACATAGTCCTTTATAGAGCGAGGATTGGGCTGTTTTCCCAATCATGTCAAATTGTCCACTGTCGCCTTAGGCTCGGCTGCAGTGACCTAAATGCTGATAAGTTTAGACGACATGCATCAGACATATCAGACTGCACTTGTGGGTATCACTTTGAAGACGCAATTCACTTTTTCTATACCTTTAAAAAAACCGATAATATCAGAAACACTAATATGTATTTCTACACACATGGGTATGATTTAAAAACGATATTACATGGCAGTAGTTTAGTTAGCAGTTCTACAAACATGACTATTCTTAAATCAGTTCACAATTTCATTGTCAAAAGCAAACGATTCGAGTAGCTTAATGTTATGCATGTAGTAACGGAAAACTGCTATATCTTATTTCACAGACACCACTTGTATAGGCTTCATATATTTCATTTGTGCATTTAGTATGTTTATGTTTAGCACCATCTTACATATAATCTTATATATAACCAGCTGTTGTAAAGTTATTACCTGGAGAGGTATTTACATAAGCATGTTTTGCTTTTTTACCGATCCAGATTTCTTTTGAAATAAAAATATGTTTAAACCACTTTTAGGCAACTGTTGAACAGCATGGCAAGTATTTATAAAACGACCGGGGGAGGAAATATTCTGGGGGGAGATTTTATTTCGTAGGGTGGGGGAGAGTTTATTTTGAGAGGGGCGGAACTGTACCGGTATAAATTCGCCGGGGGGAGATTTTATTCTGGGGTCGAATATATTTCGTGACACCGGCCCTATTCACTGGTTCTCAGGGTGAGTGACCCTTTGTGTCAGCCTGGCTGGGCAGACTTGCATGATAGGCCACTGTCTCACAGCTGGAGTGACCGTGGGTTTACCCGCATTTGTGAAACATAAAATATATTGAATGCGGCGGTCAGTTAGTGCATTCACTGCATTGAATTTACTTTAAGAATAGTCAGATTAGTTTACCGATAAAAGTTGATTATTATATATTTTCTAGTAGGAATTTGGTGTTAGAAGAAAGCTATGACACGTCAAATGTTGCCGCTAGGGGAGCCATAGATTGGAAATCATGTTTTGAAAGCAATGTTTAGAAGTGTGTCGATTATTGGAAATTATAAGACTGGTCCGTAGTATCCACGTTTGATGTCTAGTCGATGGCACGTGGTCAGTTCACTCACTCTTCTCACACACACAAAAAAACCAACTATTTATTTGGGTGCAACTGCCTGTTTGTCAGAGTTGTGGACTGATGTAAATAATCCTGATGCTTGTGATTGATATTAAATATGTAATGTGTATGTTGAGTGGTGGTGAGTGTGTGTGTGTGTGTGTGTGTGTGTGTGTGTGTGTGTGTGTGTGTGTGTGTGTGTGTGTGTGTGTGTGTGTGTGTGTGTGTGTGTGTGTGTGTGTGTGTGTGTGTGTGTGTGTGTGTGTGTGTGTGTGTGTGTGTGTGTGCGTGCGTGCGCGTGTGTGTGTGTCTGTGTGTCGGCCACATCCAGTCATTCAATTGTGTTGACATCCAGTCGGATGTTCTATTGGTTGTATATATATATATAGTGTGTGTGTGTGTGTGTGTGTGTGTGTGTGTGTGTGTGTGTGTGTGTGTGTGTGTGTGTGTGTGTGTGTGTGTGTGTGTGTGTCGGCCACATCCAGTCATTCAATTGTGTTGACGTCCAGTCGGATGTTCTATTGGTTGTATATAGTCAACGGACCATGTCGCTTCTGTACTTCTGTGTATAGTCGTCACAAAACGAGTATGGGCGGAAATAGGTTGAACCCACCAACTTCAGGGAGTTGAGTTGTAGTTGGATACCAGGACTGCTGCTTTCTCAGGACAACAGGAGGTAATTAGTATTTCTTAAACCGATTTTGTAGCATTATGTGAGACACTTATCATGGATGCAGTGGTATCTCCTGAAATACCTGTTGTTACCCTGTCTGGCGCTTGGCATTAAGTGGCTAAAACAAGGACTGGTCGGCTCGGAGTTAGTATTATGTTTCTGAGAAGGACATTCATGTTAAACTTCGGCATGGTATCTCAGTGGGCTAACACTAAAACTTGGCAGCAGTCCGGACTAGTACAAGCATACAGCTGCATGCACCTTGTAGATTCAAATTGTTTTCTTCATTGCAAACTGAAAGGTCATAGGCCCATAGTTCAACGTATTTACAAGGCATGGATGTTTCTTCTAACTAACAATGTATGTACAATGCAATATTTTGTAATAAAGTAATATTTGAAGTTGACATGAGTATGCAAAACAAATTAATATTTCGGAAAGTTATAAACTTCTTTGGAATATACTTGTTTCTTAATTGACGACAGAGTTTACACACAAGCATAAAATGATACTCATTTTCTACAACATTAAGATTACAAGATGTACAAATATTGTTAGACTTTTTAAATATACCTTTATAGATCTTTAAATCATAATATCCTGCTCTGAACTGCGCTAGCGAAACTCGAATTGTTTTTATTGTAACAGATATTAGATATTCTTATGGTATAAATTGTTGTTTGAAGAGAGAATAGGTATATGTACATTTGCTATTTCTTAGTTTTTTCTATCCACATTTGCTGAAAACAATCTTTGGCTCTTTGGAGTAACAATGACATAAACAGAAGAAGAGAAGAAGAAGAAGAAAATTGTTTTATTAAAGTGTCACATGCTGCAGTACTAAATATATGGACATATAAACATTTCATTAAAAAACAAAAAACAGCACCCGGCCAGTTTGCCTACGAGGTACATTTAAAATATATAAAAAAAGAAAGGAAAAATTAGTTGCAACTTTGTATATTACTACACCCACACCCACACCCACACCCACACCCACACCCACACCAACAACCACACCGATACACCAACACACACACATCCGCATTAAAATCCCGCTCAAAGCATTCAAAAAGGTAAGCATACAAACAGGTAAGCATACAGGACGCTCACAGCAATCTCATACAGGACACTCGCAGCAGTCTCATACAAAACACTCACATCAATCTCATTCAGAACACTCACAACAATTTCATACAGAACGCTCACAACAATCTCATTCAGAACACTCGCAGCAATCTCATACATAAACATCTCGACATTTCCCAAACCCTGATCCATCCATGCGTATCTAAGGCCTAAATTGAAAAGGGTGACCTTGTAGATTATAACAACACACCTATCAGGATCGTCAAGATTGTCCCACATTTGGGAGTGACATCCCGGGGATCCTTTGGACTTGTACCTGGACACCTACATGTTTGGGTTTCCTTTTCTTTGAAAGTGAGAAACTCCAACCCGTTTGAATCTCCCCAACACATGGATCGATGTTCGTCCCCACCCCTAAGGCCAAAATTAACTGTGTTGTGGCTGGTTTGTTGTTTAACTTCCCACTCAGCAATATTCCAGCTATTAAACAAAAAACAACAATAACGAAACAAAAAGCCGGATACTACTTAATTTGTGGATAGCATAAAAATAAATTAAAGTTTCGTTTGAGCTGGCATGAATATAATAAAATAATTAGCAAGTCTATGCTCATAATTCTCTCTATTGGTCCAACGTGAAATGTTCTTCATGAATACTGTAAATCATGAAGTTAACGCAATAAATAGTCACCACATTTATTCGAGTATAGAACAGAACCCTGGCCTAAAATGCGTGATGTAATTTATGAGTGAGTGAGTATGGTTTTGCGCCGTTTTTAGCAATATTCCATCAATATCACGGCGGGAGACACCAGAAATGGGTTTCACATATTGTACCCATGTCGGGAATCGAACCCGGGTCTTCGGCGTGACGAGCGAACGCTTTAACCACTAAGCTACCCGACCGCCCTGTAATTTATGAGAGTAGCCTTGCAAACAACACAATTCCATAATGTAGTATTGGCTGATAGACGTTCGACCAAGTAACATCATTTACTAACTTCAACTATTCATCTAATTTCCATTAATGTATGTTACATAGTTAATATGTTCATGGGCTTCTTCACTGAATGTATAGTGTGCAGGACTACTTCAGTTACGGAGAAGTAACATATTTTAAAATAATTATGATATTATTGTCATTATTATTCCTTCAGATTATTACAAACACAATTTATTATGTTTTCATGTTAAACATGAGAAGTATTGAGATTATGGAGATTCATGATTTTTTAACATTGGCATTGTTAACATAATTCTAAATTCTTAAAGATATGAAGTTTCTTTGTTTGTTGTTTAATGCCCCACTCAGCAAATTTAAGTTCAGTTGTATTATTAAATTTATATTATTTTGCAATTGTTACAGAGACTTGACAAAGTGATAATAAAATGTATAGTCGCTATGCTTAAAAAGTAAGCATACACTAGATTTATCTTCCAGACATAGTGCACACCAAAGGATAATCATATGTCATAACTCTATTGTACGTGGACGTCAACGATATTTGTGTATGTTATAGCTGCATGATTGGTTGGACGCGGATACGTCATGATCAAGTTTCAGTTTCAGTTCTCTGAAAAACAACCAACGGTGTTACAAGAGTATATATATATACAACATATAATATACAATGCAGATCAAGATGGTAACAAACCTAAAATAAAAAAATAAAAATTAAGCAAATAAAATAATCATAATCATGATAATCAAAAGAAATAAAATTAGACAACTTAACGCAATAATGAGTTCAAATGTACGATGAATCTGGACAGATGTTTCAAAGTGGATATATATTTTAGGTGAAAACGTTTTACGCAATTTACACATATTTGGCCAGATATAACAATTCTGTGGTATGTCAAGAAGCAATGAGAAATTGACACGTATTTGATGACGTTAGATACATGTAGCTACGCGATAAATCGCAACCAAACAAAGAAGAACGAAGCGTGATTTATTTCACGATAAAACATCTCTGGAGATTCGAACATAAGCTCGCAACTTGATGACGTCGTACATTTGACGTTGTTATTTTTTAGGGGGAAGTGTCTATTGATTTGTTCCCCATATATGTAGCTAAGCAACGTAGATGAACGCAATGCCCGAACGGTCGCATCCAAAAGTGAGATCGATAATATTGTGACAATCGATATTGGGAGGAAAAAGTACAGATAATCGACGTGAAAATTATGAGAATATGCCTGAAAGACCAATTTCAACCCCCCCCCCCCCCCCCCCCCCCCCCCCCCCTTCTATTCAGGGAGTCGTCATTATTTAAATACGGATAAATATTTTTAAAGCGTCTGTTTTTTACTAGCATAATTAAATAGATATAAGAACGACTGCGCCCCTCTGACATTATCTCTCATGTTTTTCAGTTTACAAAAGCGACAAAAGCCTTTCCATTATCATAAAAAAATGCTTGCCAAAAGTAAAGCCGACTGAACGATTCCGACAACACCAGGGGCATGTGTCATAATTCACCAGCAAACAATGATGACACTGGGTGCTCGCAAAAAGGCGAACATACCCGCCTACACGTCCAACACATAGCCCCGCCACAGAATCATTTAAACTTGACCAAACAACCCACATACACACATATATATATATATATATATATATATATATATATATATATATATATATATGGTTCAGGGTTGCGAGACAAACTACTTCACAGTCTGTGTCGCCGTCGTGATCTTTAGAGCTAAGCAACGTGAGCCATCTGAGACACCGACTCGACACCTGTTTGCAACCGTCACACGCCAGTTACGACTGACACTACTTCTTTCTCCCAACAAAAAATAATGCAAAAAATGTCGGAAGTGTATATTTTTAAACCTGCTAATTTACTATTTCGATACATGTTTCAACTTTAAGGTAATTAAATGTAGCTCCTGTTCCAAAATGGTATATGTAATGCTGTTTTTTGTGGCCCTTGTGGTGCTTTTGTGGAATTATTATGAATATCAAATACATGTATTGAAATATGGACTTGTAAAAGAGCTCATCATTATGCACGCCAGAGCGACATTGTGGTCGACTTGTATGTCGCTCTCGCGTTACATTTGCTAACGAACCAATTACGTTCGGATTTAGTGCACAAAGCGTTTAAGCTCCCATGTGTAATCCTAATGAAAACTCAATAAGGGTTTTAAAACAACACAGTAATCCATATCATATTTCACATCACCACGATATGACACATAAATGATATTTTCTTCTTTTAATAATGAAATAAGATAATAAAAAGTTTTGTCACTCTCATTTTATTCAACAACCATCAACCATGTCACAACAATATATCATTACTCCAAGTGAAGCAATTCACTGCAATGGTCTGCATTCACAATTCTGGATACGGCACCATGTGTCTCTTTACCTGAAATAAGACATAGATTGTCTTAATAAATTGTCTCAGGAAAGAAAACAAAATAACACTTTAATACTCAGAATATAGGTATTTAACTATTATTAAACTATTATTAATAGGAATAAGGAATAGGGAAAAAAAATACCTTCATGACTGGTTTGGGGTCATGGTTGTGTTCCCGGTTAATATTGGTGTTCTGGTCATCTTTAGTCGAAACACGTACAGCTGCAGGACATATCTTTTCGAGACTCTGCCAAGACTGCCACGTGTCTCTCTTCTTACTGCAACGGAACATAAACCCTTGAAAACAAAGAATCCTACCTCCAGGATGGAATGGTATGATTTTGATTTCAACTTGAGGGTTTGCCATTTTGCAAGTAACTTCACATTCGACTTCTTCTTTATTTATATCTGTTATCTGAATATCGCTCCATCAACTAATCAAAACCGCGGTAATAACGCTCACTTAATGAATTAAGATTGACACTGATTGAACATGCAACAATGATTAGTATGATTACTAAATCATAATCAATTACTGAGATATGGTCATGGTGAACATACTAATCCTATGTTAAAACATACTGATCCATTACGTAAACAGATTAAAACTTCAAAGCATTACCGCATGTCGCTCTCGCGTTCAGTCTAAAAAGGTTTACTGAGAGAGAGAGAGAATATTGTTTATTAAAGTGTCACATGTTATATACACTTCGTAATAAGATATATACAAAACAGTAAAATATAACATCCGGCCAAATATGACCTACGAGACACTATAAAACATATCAATCATAAAACTATTCAGTTGAAACAGAATAAAAAATACATACCTCGTGATGCAGGCGCGGAGCACGGCCGTGGGCGGTTTCAGTGAGGAGCGCACCAGCATGCCAGGATACACGGCAACTGACTTCGAAAGTCCTAAGTTAAACAGTGCGCTCCCCCTTAACTCCCCCCACCGCGTTGCGCCGCCCACCACGTCATACATACATACATACATACATACATACATACATACATACATACATACATACATACATACATACATACATACATACATACATACATAATGAGTGAGTGAGTGAGTATGGTTTTACGCCGCTTTTAGCAATAATCCAGCAATATCACGGCGGGGGACACCAGAAATGGGCTTCACACATTGTACCCATGTGGGAATCGAACCCGGGTCTTCGGCGTGACGAGCGAACGCTTTAACCACTAGGCTACCCGACCGCCCCTACATACATAATGAGTAATGTCAATTATATACCTTTCTGTATTTCTCCTCTTTCTTTTCTGCCTTATAATGTATAACTTAAATAATCAAATAAATACGCATAGATTAAATCTACAGGGGGCGGTCATTCTGCGATCATGTGTCCCAAATCCTTTCCATGAGAATACACCATGTTAAAAGTAAAAAAAATAACTTCACGAAAACAGTTTCAGTAGTCAACACCTTGTCTAGCATTCAATATTCGTTCCTTTCGAGTGTCAAGTCACTTGTTTGACGAAGGAACAAACGCTTCACTCCGGTGCATCATACTACTGCATCATACTACTGCATCATACTACTGCATACATACATACATACATACATACATACATTACATACATACATACATACATACATACATACATACATACATACATACATACATACATACATACATACATACATACATACATTCATCTTCAACATAATTTACATGATCATTAGTAGGATTGGCGTGACAATATTTACAAGTCCTATCCAACAGTGGGGTAGGTGGCTTGACGTAGCGGCCGGTCTCAACATGTAAAGGTAAAATACCACATCGAAAGGATGCTAAAAGTCTTCGATGATCTCTAAAACGTACATGACATAAATAAGGCTCAGCAGTAGGTGATGATTTGTACATTCTGTATGTGCGTAATTTATTGCCATTTGGATTATTCTTGTCATTCCAAAGCGCAGTATACCACATATCACAATCTTCAGCAGTTAAGAAACACTTTACACGGTCAACACACTGTTTAATGCTGTATCCACAATAAGGTAAATATGACAAATTATAGTGAGCTAAAATGTTTACGATTTTTTTATCCCAGGATTGTGATCGGATTTTGGACCAATTATGAATGATAAGAGGGAGATGATGGGCCTGCATATTCTGAATTCTAAAATATAATCTAAAGCATTCAACGTGCTGTGACACTTTCACAGAACACCAGCCCATGTCCCCCCTAATAGCAGTAACTGGGGCATTTTTTCTTACGCCTAGAAACAAACGACAAGCCTTATTTTGAATTATTTCTACTTCCTTATACTTATTCAAACCCCAAATGGCAGCACCATAAAATGGAACAGGTTCTACAAGAGCTTTATAAAGCTTGTTAAATACTTCGTAAGACATGCCACCCGCGTGTTTAAACTTTGAATACAACGCAGAAAGAGCTCTGCTAGCCGATTTACACAGTACCTGGACTGTTTTGTGCATATCTAAATGCTCATCACTTTGCCAGCAGGCTGGGGAGATTAGCCTGTTCTGATTATCTGAGCTCATTGATGACTTAGCTGTGACCCACTGTAAGCCAAACTTAACTAATGAAGTGAACTGTGTTCAGCTTTACAGATATTAAGCAAAATTATATTGTCTTGAAAATTTGTACATCAGTACATAAATGTAATTTTTAATTAATAATTAATACAAACCTATACTTCTACATACATTTTTGTGTGTTATATCTACCTAGACAGGCTGTAGTCTGGCTATAGTCAGTCGGTGAAAGTGAAACCGTCTATAGTGTTAACCCCCATTGTTGTAGGGATTATCACGGGCTACTGATTTTTAAACTAGAACAATAGCTGCTGGCAAAGTGAGAACACCCCTCTAAAAAGTCAAATGTTGCTCTGGAGTGACGATACCCATTGAACCATATACAGTCGAACCCATTTAATTGGCATGTACCGATATATATCCCATCTACTGATTAAAACACTTATTCTGAACACGTATCACATGCAGTATACTGCATTTCAAGTGTTGTGAATGAGGTACAGTCGACAATCAGTATAAGTATATCAACAGGATTTTTCGTAAATATTGTCTAATCGCTAAGCAATAAATATTATAGATGGACATGGGTTTAGAATTGGATTTGGTTTGATGTAAAATGTTTTGCTGTGGACCACTTTTTTTTCTTAATAATCGTACAATATACAATCTACTAACACATTCACATACATATGTACAGTGGGGGCGGTCGGGTAGCCTAGTGGTTAAAGCGTTCGCTCGTCACGCCGAAGACCCGGGTTCTATTTTCTTCAAACTTTTTTTATTCTCAAGTTATATGGTTCAGAGATTTGGGATCTCGAAAAATATCACATCTTGGAAAAAATTCACTTAACTGCATGTAAACGATTCTTAAATGTTGGCAAATCTACCCCAAATTGTATGGTGTATGGTGAATGTGGAAGACATCCCTTATATATTTGTTCTTATGTACGCGGTCTAAAATATTGGTTAAAGATTACAGAAATGTCACCTGATCGTATTCCACGTAAATGTTATGAAATGCTGAAATACCGCGACAATGTTGGTTATATAACATGGGTCACTAAAATCAGACAACTTTTATTTCTTCATGGATTTGGATATGTTTGGATTTACCAAGGTGTTGGAGATAAGATAGCATTTCTTAGTGTATTTAAACAAGTTGCATCTGATATGTTTATCCAAGAATGGAGAGCTACATTGGCAAATAGTTCAAGATACGACCTTTATAAAACATTTAAATCCTGCTTATCTCCAGAACAGTACTTAACAGAAATAACAGACAGAAATCTTAGAGTGTGTTTTACACGTTTTAGATTAGGTTTGAACAATTTGGCATGTAATACGGGTCGTTTTTCCTCAGTATAAATAAATATGCGTTTTTGTTCTTTTCGGCCCACATTTATTGAAAACGAATACCATTTTATGCTTATCTGTCCGTGTTATGAATCGCTCAGAACAAAACATTTCCAAGGTTTACCCCAAAACATCAGTACACTAATCAAGCTCCTCCGTTTTGATGAAATATCTAACGAGCAACAAAAAAATACTATCCTATACATTAATTATGGTTTACGGCTTCGCAACCGTCTTTGTACAAATGATGTTTAAATTATATAAATAATTATTCTTGAGGTTATTTGCCTTTATTAATCAAATGCTTTAATCTCTTCTTGTTGTGTTGTGATGCGATTTATTTTTCACAAAATTGTACACTTGCACATCTCTGTGCATATACGACTGCATGTTTATACTTGTACATGTACAAACTTGTATATATATATAATATTAAATGAAAATCATGATGATGATTTCCGACATATTGGAATATGGCTAAAAGCGGCGTAAAGCCATACTCACTCAACCACTCTACCTTAGGCAAACACCTCATGGTGGGTTTGTAACGAAAACACGGGCCAGGGTGCACTCGTCAGTTGTCTTATAGGTCAAGAGTAAGATCTTCCGGACGACCAATGCACTGGAGAAATGTGGATTGCGTAGAGGTTCTACGTGGTCTGGCCTTAAGAATATGATCAACACTTTTAGAAACTATATACATGTAAACCAGCGCGAGCGGGACAGTTTGGAACTAGAAGTAAAAACACTAAATACATGTAAGGAAGAGCTCATGATAAAACGTTATGGACCCGAGGACGGACTTGTGTTTTCATTTCAAGACGTATCAGGTAGAATTTCTACGATTGATATAAGTTCGGTACCGCTTCCTAGCTGTAACATTAACTTAACGCCTTTTTACACATTTTTGATAGGGCGCGACGTGATATATTTTGACCTTGAAAAATGTCGTGTTGTCGCCCTGTGGTAAAATAAGAAAAGGTTTATTCAAAGAGCAACAATGCGACAACACGTCAATGTGACAAATGACATATTTCCCTTCCATGATTCCATACTTTTGTTATAGTGCAAACCATTTCAATACTTTTATTTAAAATTGTGCAAACCATTTCAATACTTTTATTTAACATTTCATTAATGTGCTGAAATGTGTCTATAGGAATGTATTTCTGTCTTCATATTCCGATATATAATAATATAAATAATAATAATATAATACAATAACGTTACTTTGTATGTGTAATGATGTTAACTACATTAGGCCTCTCAAAACCCTCTCGGTATTATGGTACTTGTCTTCATTTTTTGGGTATTGTATTTTACTCTATTTTTGTATTGCCTGGGGGAGTCCGCAATGTAACTGAAGGGGGTAAGCTTAAAATAGCATAAATCACTGGCACTTCAGGTTGTTTTGATAACACTGAAGGCAAAATGCACTGTAGGAACAGAACAATACAGAATAGAACAGAAGTGTATTACTCATGAATCACGTATTGTGATATAGAGCATACAATATACATATTTATATTTACAGACGTGTATCAGTGTGCTTAAACATAAAGTAATTACAAACATAGTATGTACAGTAATTGAATTATTACTTAAAAAGTTGTAAACCATCCTTTAAGTATTTCGCCAGCTTTATAACAAGAGGTTTGTAGGAGCAAACCATAAGCTGGTTAAAGTTTTCAATAGTGGGATACTTACAATAATAATTCGGGAGATATTTATTTCTTAATTCATGAAGTGATGGACATTGTAGAAGAAAGTGGAATTCGTCTCCAATATAACTGTTGCATAATGTACATAACCTGTGATCTTTATTAACATTGAACCATCTTCCCTTTTCAATTGGTAATCTGTGATTAGCTGTTCTAAATTTGACTATCCACTTCGCTAAGTTGTATGGTAATGATAATAAATATTCCTCAAGGCGAGGCTTATCTTTGAACTTTGTGTAGTATTTACCCTCGGAGGATAAAGTCGCAAATTCATT